AAGCAGAAAGTAGAGCAAAGCTCCTTCTCAGCTTCATACTGTGTTAATTAGGTGCCACATAGTAGTTCACACCTTTATAATAGCTATAATATTTTATTTTTGTCCTCAAAGTTCTTTGCATGCAGTTCATTTTAGTCAAAATAAACATAAATGATTTATTCTATTTGAATAATCTGGATGGATGTAAATATTAAAAACACTATATTTTAAATGGAATCATTGACAAATTATACAAATAATCTACTGTGGAACTTCTCAGTGGGAGGGTTACAGATAGAATCTCTTGAGATTTGATCCCAATATTTTCCACACATGTGAGCATGTTTTTACATCTCCATAGGATTGGGATCCCATTCCTGGGTAGGAATCCCAGTAACTGGCTTCCACTTCTGTTCATGGGAAAGATTGTAGTGTGTAAAAGTATTGTAGACTACTTTAAAAGATAATGAATGAGCAAAATAAGGACATTAGGACCAACCATGTTGGCACAAGTGGGAATCCACCACATTGTGGCTTGACTGATGCTGCCTGGGAGGCCAGGGTTTGTTCTCTGCCCAAACTAAACAGCCCTGGTTCAGGTAGAACATCCCTGTGGTCCCACCTAACTATGGGATAGGGAAACTTCATGGCACTTCTCTCCCTCTTCCACTCACTTCCTATCTCTCCTTCTCATAAAAAGATAAAATTAAATTAAAGTGACTCATTTAATGTTTAAGAAATATATGTCCCTGCCTCCTCTTCAGGTAGCATGGTATACAATAGGTATTCAATAATTATTCAAAATTTTTTGTTTAGTAAATGTCCTTATACATCATTCGACTTCTTTCTTAATTATTTAGTTAAGAGTTAATATACTCTTTGACTTTAATGATTAAGTCTTCCCAGTAGTGCTTCTGACAAATACTTAAAATTCTATCCAGTGAGGTCTTTATTTGACTACAAGTTGTCAGCCAATTTTTTAGCAATATGCAGTCAATAAGTGGCCAGCAATCAGGCCCCATAGTAAGATGTATATTACAAAAATGTGTTATCAATGAACAGATGATTATAAAGTTACAGCTATTACTGTTTATTGCTTTGATGTAGTACAAGGAAAGAAGTGTGATTTTTCTTATTAACAATTTTAATTAAATTTTAATTGATTTCTAGGAAGACAAATGGTCTTATTATATCATCACACACTGAGCTACTTTAATAGATATTAAGAATACATACAAAGTTTCTTGACAGTAGTGCTGATAATAAGGGATTCCATGTTTGGTTATCTTGTCTACCATCTACATACTCATCTATGATAGCAAATGAGTGAACCTGCCTTACTCAGCCAACCCATGTCTCTTAAGGAACATGACCTTATTTATACACTTCAATTAATTAGGAGATAGAGAAAGAAAGAAATAGCCCTTTATTTTGTAAACTTTCTATTCCCTTTATCTCCATTAAATAGATATTTGAGTTACCTTAAAATTATAGAGTGGTATTCTACAGAGTATTACAGCCTTTTATTCCACAAGCATCATGTATACTTACTTTCATAGTAACTGGGCATTCAGCAAATTAAATGGTATTAGATTGGGTTAAAGTGTGTTTGTGCATGTGTGTGTGGGTACTTGATACATTTTTTACCAATTCAGACTGATTTTTTAAAAATCATGAAACTTTATTGATAAGGATGCCTTATCTAACATTTATTTTCAATCTACTAGTTGAATATTGTTAGAATATTTTATTTAAATGGGTTATTGTATTATAAAATATAAGTTTTTATATATTTCCAGATGATATGATTAACAGTAAGATTCTTGAGATAAGAATAGTATCCTGGACTTTCCTGGTGAGCCTTATGTAAGCCTATGAAAGGTTTTGACAAGTGAAAGAGCATAATTGAAGAGTGGATCAGAGAAATGATTTGGAAAAAGGAGGAGGAAAGATTCAGAAAGTATGAGAGAGACTTGGTCACCACTTCTGGCTTTAAATATGGATGAAGTATGCCATAAGCCATGGAATGTGGTGGTCTCTGAAAGCTGAGCTTGGTTCTCACATTACAACCATCAAAGACATAGTGATCTCTAGCCCACTAACTCAACCAACTGAATTATGTCAACAACCTGAATGAGCAGGGCAATTGCTACTGCTTAGAATCTCTGCAGAGTGATAGCCCTGACTGTATCTTGATTTATCCTGGTGAAACCCTGTTGAACTTCTGCCCTACAGAGTTTTTTTTTTTTTGAGAGATTTTCACTGTAGGGCATGTGCGCTCGCCAGACAGACAGAGAGAGACATAGAGACAGAAAGCGAGAAATCACCCCCCAGGGGGGATGGTCACGCCGCAATCCCTTCTCCTCCATTCTCCTCTCGGGATCTTGGGCACGCACGCACACGCGCCCGGCGTGAGTTTTAAGCCACCGGGTCCGGGACACGAACCGCGGTCGACTACGTGGGAGTCCAGCGACATAGCCATTACGCTAACTGCTGGTTCCCTGCCCTACAGAGTTTTAAAATGATAATTTGGGTTGTGTAAGCTGCTAAATTTATGTCTATTTATTATGGCAACAATGAAAAATACAGAAATATGTGAGGAATCTTATGGTCTGGACATGAATACATAATCAGTAATTCCTTCCCCCCCATACACACACACACACACACACACATACACACACACACACACATGCACATAGTCTCACACACATATATAGACAAATTAGTCAAACTGTAGTGTTCTATCTAATTATTTTCAGTTTTTGAATAAAAAATAATTTGAGCAAGAGTTATATAAATTACTGATTATATAAACGACCAATTTCTGATTATATAAATGACCAATTTTGTGATCTCAAGATATCCTACAGGTGGGCCAGCAGGTGATGTGGTGGTTAAACGTGCTGGACTCCCACATGCCAACCATGGTTTGAGTCTCAGTCCTCGCAGCTTGCTATCTCACTTGCCCCTTCTCTCTCTGTGAGCATATATGCCCTATAGCAAATTTAAAAAATAATAAGAAGAAAGAAATTAAGTTAAATATATAATTTTTGGAAAACAGATATCCTATAGGCAAAAATGTTTCGAGAGTGTTGGTATTGTAAAATAGACTTATTTATATTATTGGGTCATATTTTCTATTTTTACCTAATCAGTGATTTCAGACAAAAATAATTGCTTCATATTTTTTGAAAGAAGAGGTGGTGCTGGGTATGGAGTGAGCGGTGTTGTTTGTTTTTGCCATTAAGATTAGCTTGACCGATTTGTTAATAGTATGTAAGCCAAATTCTAGGCGAAGTGTAAAAGTAGAAGAAAATGTCAGTAGAAACTTCTCAGCTCTTTTACAGTATTTTGCCCTTGTTGGGTGTTCCTGTAATTCTTTCATCTTTTCTCAGTATTAAGCCTCAAGAGATGTAAACTTTCTAAGACATGCACGGTTTGGTGAGGTCAAGGGAAAAATCCTGCAGAAATATCTGGCGTTATCACGCTCAGAAATACAGCTAGGAGCATGGTTTTCACATTTTGGACTTCATCATTTCAAACAAGACAACATTCAACTCCTCTTCCATACTTTACCAGTGTTTGTAAAGCTGGGTAGACAACTGCTTGTGTGTTTTCAAGCTATATCACAGTTGGGGGGGGGCACGTGTCCTTTAAAAAAAAAAAAAGTGGGTCAATAGGTGGCATGGAGGTTAGGGTGGCTGGATCTCACATAACTGACCTGGCAGTTTGAGTTCTATCCTAGTGGCTTGAAAAACACACCAGGTGCATGTGTGTGTGTGCCCAGAGTCCAGAACGGAGAATGGAGGAAAAGGGATTATGGCATGACCATCTCCCTGGGGGGGGGGGTGGATTTCTCACTTTCACTCTCCGGGCTTTGTGGACATTGAGTGATTATTGTATCCTTGGCTGATAAGGCAGACAGGTGTCCTATTCTTCCTTCCTTTCCCTGCTAATATTTTGGCACATAGTTATCTAACATTTTACAGCTTTTAAGGTTTCTTGAATAACAAAATGTAGCACTATTTAACACCAAGTATGCAGTATTTCATAGTGAGAGCCATAATTATTATCATAACCATGTTTTAGGTAACATTAATTCTTATAAAATTCTATTAGATGAATATACAAAATTTACTTATTTTATTTGATGTAAAGTGATTTTACATACCTTAAAATTTTCAGTGAATGTAGATTCAACAGTTTTTAGGTATTATTTTGATATTTTCATTCTGATATTTAGGAGCCCTTTGTAGATATTTTTATTCCCAACTGGTTTCGGAATAGATTTAGTTTCAAGTCTTAGTTCCATGCATTCATTTAATCTAACATTCATTAATTCCATAATTATTTATTAGGCAGTTTTGCATGCACAGTGTTGTACTAAGAACTGGGGCTCTGAGTTTGTTTTCTTTTGTAACATTAAGCAAGATAATTACAAATTACAAGCATTTCTCACTTATAAAATAGGACTGCTGATATTTACTTGTAAGTGTCATGAGGATTAAATTAAGAAATATTTATAAATATTATTTACAACAAATAATATAACAAATACTATTAGACTAATAAAAATACAAAAGCAAATATATAAATGCTTGAGCAATAAACGACTGTAGAATTTTAAACTGGGACTAAATAAATTATGTCATACTAGAAGCTATATTCTTTTTTCTTACTTTAGAATTGAAAAAAATCTATTAAAAATGAGACCACATGAAAAATTGGTATTTTTATAATATGAGTTTTCTTTCATGTTATTTTTGCTAATGAAATCAATTTCTATTATGCTCATTTTGGATAAAGGATATTAATTGATTAAACTATAGCATATTTTTTTATGTTTTAGAGTTTGAATTGCATTGTCATTATCTTTTTAATTTTCTCCTTAGAGAAAACAATGAATATTCAGTTAGAAAAATGTCATAATTCATTAACTGTATCCTTCTGGTAACACAGTTTATCAGCAGCATACCAAAAATTATTACATGAATTCTTTTGATTGTCATTTCACTTAGGCAACGGACCCTGATGCTGGAATAAATGGCCAAGTACACTACAGTTTGGGAAACTTCAATAATCTTTTTCGCATCACATCCAACGGAAGCATTTATACAGCTGTGAAGCTTAACAGAGAAGTCCGGGACTACTATGAACTTGTTGTTGTGGCAACCGATGGAGCAGTACACCCTCGTCATTCAACTCTAACACTGGCCGTCAAGGTTTTGGATATTGATGACAATAGTCCTGTCTTCACCAATTCTACATACACTGTTGTTGTTGAAGAGAATCTGCCTGCTGGGACCACCTTTCTTCAAATTGAGGTGTGTGGAAGAAGAATCATTGTCATGCATTCTGTATTGTAAGAATTGCCATTGGTGTAGGGTTTTCAAATTCAGCAAAAGAAAATACAGCACGTTCATTTAAATTGCAACTTCAGACAAACCATGAATACATTTTTAATATAGGTATATGTCAAATATTTCACACTGTATTATATGTGACAATCCTACTTTAGAGATATTCCAAAAATCAAGGGAAGAGAAAGTACATTTATAACAAATAAAATAGTACTTTTTTATAATTTACAAAAATGGTGTGGTATATTTTATTATAACCATTGCCAATAAAAAAGTTATGGAACAAGTTAATCTCCCACATCAGGCCTCCAAAATTTTCAGTATTTAATTTTTATATGCATTCTTTCACATTTGTCTTTGTGTTCATACAGTATCTAAAAAATATTAGCATATATGTAACTATGCTGTGCAAAGTTGTGTGCATATGCAACACATGTATGCATGTATCTGTATGTATACACACATGGACACCTACATACATGTGTGCATGTATCTGTATGTATACACATATGCACACATATAAATGTATAAATTTCCCCTATATTTTACAGATCTTGTTATTCACATTATTCTGTAATATTTATTTTCACATTCTATACACAACAAGCATCTTCCAAGGATTTAACTCTCCTTTTTAATAGTACCTCCATATCCAAATTTCTTTTTTCAGTTCTTAACTATAAATGACCACTCTGTTGATTCTGATTTAGTAGATTAGGCTAACCCATAAACCTAATTTTTAGCAACCACACCATTTAATTCTGACACTATGGTTTATTAAGTATCTTAAAAATAAATAAATGTTAGCCCTTCTTCCACCTCCAATCCACAACTTGAATTCTATTAGCATAGTTTACAAGAATTTGTAGTTCAAGACCAGCAGATGGTTATGTTGCTGGACTCCCACGTGGTCAACTCTAGTTTGAGTCCCAAACCCGGAGGCTTAAAACTCACACCAACATGTGTGCATGCGTGCCCAAGATCTTGAGAGGAGAAGGGAGAAGAAAAGATTTCAGTGTAGCTATCCCCCTGTCTCTCTGTCTCTCTGTCTCTCTTTGTCTCTCCAGTGAGCATACATACCTTATACCTAAAATCTCTCTAAAAAATAAATGAATAAAAAGAATTTGTATTGCTTTCATAATTCAACTCAGCAAATGTTTACTTAGGTGACAACCATAAATACATGTAAATAAGGCAAATACTGGCCTGGGAGAGAGCCGAAATCTTTCCATTTATCCCTCCATTTATTTATCAGTTCACTTATGCAGTCATGCATTCAACAAGTCTATCTTTAGGACCTGCCGTATGCTAATTCTTCTCTTAGACTTAAGGGTACCAAGGTGCACATGACTGATTTCTTGCCTTTTTTGAGTTTTCATTCTAGTTTAACAAATAGACAAGTAAACCGGTAGTTAAAATAAGGTGAGTACGAGAGCCTAGGGGGTCACAGATAGCATTCCTCACCCAATCTGAGGGTAGAGAGTGTTCGCTGTGGAAAGTTGTTTCTAGATTGTGAACTGAGAAACAAGGAAGACTTATTTGAGCAAAGAGTGAAGAAAGATTACCTACAGCAGTGTAAACAACCTGTTTAAAATCCTGGAAGAGAGGGTACGGTGAGGGTTGAGGGCTAAAGGACTGAGAAATGTGGTGATCCTTCTAATCCTGTGGAGGACATTGGGGTTGAGAGAAAATCAAATGGAAAATAAGAAAGATTTTAGGCAGGAAAATGACATTATAAAATCAGTGCTTTAACATCTTTCTAGTTGTGATGTAAATTGTTGGAAGCCAAGATGTCCACTTAGGAGTGTTTACGTTAATGAATGTACATTTTAATACGCCGAGAACTTACCTGTGCTCATCCTTGTTCCATTCTATCCCCTCTATCAAGGTCCTTTGACAGTCTGTGCTATCCAATGGCATAACTGTCCAGAAAGACTTTCATAAAAACTTGTCCTTTTGGCCAGAGAATATAATTTCCAATTCAGAACCCCTTTTAGATGACAAAGCACTTTTCTTTTCTTTCTATTTTGGTATTTGTTTCCCATTTGTTCTTTGAGACCACAACAAAGAATTGTGTCTTTTTTCATCATGGTGTTCTCCTTGTGCATAATAACTACTCAAATATTAGTTAAAGGCAAAGAGACATAATAGAATGATCTCTGGGCATGTATTACCAAATTCTTGTTAGATGAAATTGCTACCTAGCTTCCCTTCATTTTCTTTTAGCTCTTCGGTGTTCTGATTATGAAAATTATTCATTAATATTTTTACTTAAAATATTATCATGCTTTTTAAATCAGTAGGAGATAATAATCATTTGTGACTTGACCACATTTATTTACTGTAGTATGATCCATTTAGTGTTTTTTCAAGTAAAGTAGATATAATAGTATCAACAGTGACAGAAATTTCATGGATAGATATTTTTCTTTTCCCTCCTTCCTTCCTTTTCTCCCTCCTTCCTTCTTCCTCTCTTTGCTAAATTATTTAACGAAAGTACTTTAATTTAAAAATGTGTTTGAATCATCATTAAACTCATGCTTTCCCAGGCACTTATACATGACTTTCATCAGTCCTGCATTTCTTTTTCCTTTTTCTTTTTTGGTTTTTGGTAAAGCCACTGGTATCACCATTGTTCTACTTAACTTGTTACAGGCCAAAGATGTGGACCTTGGAGCCAATGTATCATACCGGATAAGGAGTCCAGAAGTGAAGCACTTCTTCGCACTACATCCATTTACAGGAGAACTCTCTCTTCTAAGGAGTTTGGATTATGAGGCATTTCCAGACCAGGAAGCAAGTATCACTTTTCTGGTGGAGGCCTTTGATATTTATGGAACTATGCCACCTGGTATTGCTACTGTCACAGTGATAGTAAAGGTGAGGAATATAAGATTTCTCTGGTCTCCTGCTTTGCTCTCTCTACTTGGAGCTTGTATTTCTTATACCTATAATATTTTGTGGCAACAATTCACAATAACACAATGCTTATTACAGAACGCAGAATATAGTTGTTTTTTTTTTTTAATGTGAAGTACGTATGTATGTATAAAGATCTGAGAAAGCACTATATTTTTAAACCACACAAGAACATTTTTTTATTTTGTGGGCCAGCTATGGTGACACACAAGTTGATGCTGTTCTGTAGAAAATCCTTCAACCAGAATGGGACGCAGGAATCATTCCAATGTTATTTTTACACTTGACCTGAGCTTACCCTTCAGTATGTGCATTGCTACCATGTCTTCCTTATATTACTGTTGCCACCTCTTAACTACTTGGATTGGAGACCATAAGTCACCCCTCTCCACTCTCAGATGCTCTAAACCTGTCTGAAGAGATATATCAGGATCAGGGGTCCTTCTTTCTCAGGAATCCACATAGCCATATACTTACTTCTTCTATTTTGTGTCTCTCTAGCCTAATAAATTTATCCATTTCTAGGAGTAGGACATGCTTCTAGGTCAGGGAGTTAAAAATTTCGTCAGCTCTGTTTTGTTTGGAAATAGGAACTCAAACTATCAGTCTTTCCTTGACTTCTTACGTGCTTGAGTGTGTGTGTGTGTGTGTGTGTGTGTGTGTGTGTGTTTGTACTTCTTTTGCCTGAGAAAGTGAGTCTCAGTACCCTAGTAACCTGGGAAGGAATAAAAGATCAAAGGGTACTACAAAATTATGAAGACCCTGGAGAGGTTCAATTTCTTATTTTGAAATATAATTTGTCATATTATGGTGCTATGACAGGTAGAAACTTAGAAATACATTTACAAAAACATTTAGAAAACATAGTAAAGGTGGTTATAAGGATGTCATGATGGGTAAGCAGGAAAAACTTAAGGCGAGACTGAACTAATTATAACAAAATAACTTCTGGATCAGGAGAAAAATTAAGTTATCTAACCCTAGCTTACCCGTCTACCTTTGTCTACCCTCGTGGTTTGATGGAACTGAATACTTAACAAATTGAAAATTGAAAAATAATGTATTTATTGGTGGTTTTGAATAGAGAAAGAAAGAAAAGACTTCCCATTAATGACCTTTCCCTATTCTCTTCTCTATTTAAAAATGAATGTTTAAATAATATCTCTTCTCTTTCCGGAGGATATGGTTTATAATGGTTAGTGATAAACACTCATAGACTCTGAATTCACTACTCTGGATTTCATTTGGATTCATTTTTTTTAGCTTGTTTTGATGGATAAAGTCAGTGGGGTCAAACTAGGTTCAAACATATAATCTAATAAAACAAGATGTATTCTAAGTAAGACAATTCTCTCTCTAGGATCAAGCCTCTAAAAAACTATTTTTATTCCCTTCCTAGCCTTTATTTTAATCTACAGACTCTTCAGAATAATCATGATGCATTTTTGCATAGAAAAACACAGAAAACAACATCATGACTGCTTTGATGACCCAGTAGAGATATCACTTAAGACTTCTACATCAGCATATGGAAGGACTGACTCTTTTATAGGCTCATTTCTTCCTCAGAAACAGAAAAGGGTTGGTCTAATTTTTGTCTCAGTTTCTTTATTTTATACATAGAAGTCAAACCATTCCATTGGTCAAAACTAAATGACTCATACAAATTTATTTCTTACTTACTGTATATCTAAGAAAAAACTAAATATTTTAATAACATATCAATGCTACTTTTATTCTAAGTTGGTAAAAGCATGAAAAATTATGCAGATGAATTTCCCAAATACAGACTAATGCTTGCTTTGCCTTTTTTTCCTAATAATTCTAGGTTAAATTATCACAAACAGAACTTTGTAACTTTATTATATACCACTGAGGCACATAAAATTATTATCTTTGTTTTGAAAGGAAAAGTGGAATACTGTTCTCATTTTTCCACAAATGTACACCTTTCCCAAGCATGTAAATGTTCTGCTCTGTTTATTTGCAGTACTGACAAGCTATTTTGCTGATAACATAATTGCATTGTATTTGCTAAGGGATATTTCTGCCCAAGACAGTCACCACAGGGAAAGCATCTTAAGTCTCTCTTTGAAAATGAGAAGAAACATAATTTATTTTGTAAAAAAAGAAAAAAAGAAAAGATCAAATATTTAATGTCTAGCCTATCAAACATTTAAAATGGGAGTAAGAATAGGAATATGTAAGTAACATTTGGAAAGCAAAATATTTTCACAATATAAATAAAATAGACATTTGTCACAGATCTTAGTGTCTAGTTTCAACATTCCAAAATAAAACCAGTGATGGTCATTCAAGTGATACATATTTTTGTTGCAAAACTTTTGTAGAATATTGATAAAAACAAGCTCTTTTTATTGTATGGTTTAATAAAAGTTTAGAAGAATTAGATCTGGGATGAAAGTAAGTTAGTTGTTATAGGTAAATCTCTGGAAAATAAAATTCTTAGTAATTTGAAAAATAAGATCTAGAGTGAATTCTGGCTTAACAAACTTAGTAGTAATACAACCCTTGTGTTAAAATCTAAGTTGTAATATAACACAGAAAGAAAAGGTCTATTCTACAGGAAACTGATTGTTCTAAGTAAGAATCAAAAAAGTTGAATATGTAAAGGGATACTTGATACTGGACAACATTAGAAAGGAGTTATCCAAGGTCAACAGATGTCCTAAATCATTGTGCTGATTGTAATTTTAAATAGAATGACTGTAGAGAATAGAGGAAGCTTCTTTGAAGGAAGGACATTGGACCCACCCCTTATTGTGTGCAGATGTGAGAGTAGATTAGAATAGAAAGTCAGAAATGGAAGACCACTCTTTAGTGTATCTTGGAAGATGGAGCTAACATCTTCATATATGGGAGGAGTTTCCTCCCCCAGAAAGAAATATTCATGTCCCATAGAACTTAAGAAAGAGGATGTTAGGGGCCAGCAAGTGGCATATGGTTAAAGCACTAGACACTCCCATGGCTGAACATGATTTGAATCCCAGACCTCATAGCTTAAAACTCACACCAGGAGCATGTTCATGCATATCCAAAGTTCTAAGAGGAGAATGCAAGAGAAGAGATTGTGCTGTGGCCACTCCTCCAAGAGTTGATTTCTCACTTCCTATTTCTCCTTCTCTCTCTGTGTCTCTGACAAGCACATGTGCCCTATAGCCAATAAAAAAAAAAAAACCCCAAAAACCTTTCTCTTAAAAAAAAAAAAAAACCCCAAAAACCTTTCTCTTAAAAAAAAAAAAAAACCCCAAAAACCTTTCTCTTAAAAAAAAAAAAAAACCCCAAAAACCTTTCTCTTAAAAAAAAAAAAAAACTCCAAAAACCCTTCTCTTAAAAAAAGAAAAACAAAAAACAAAAAAAAAAAAAAGGAAAGGAAAGAAAGAAAGAAAAAGGAAGAGGATGGTAACTTTCTATATGGAAACTCAATGCCCAGTACCAGTACCAACGTGGCATTTGCGAAACCATGGACACTTGAACTGCATTGACATGTGCCCATCAATACTTGATTGTGTCAGTATTATTGATGTCCTGGCTTTGATTTGGCCAGAAGAACTGTGGCTTGAATGACCAGGAGTGAGGTAGTCCAGGACTTAAGCAAAACAGAAACTAACCATTTCAAGATATACAGCTTTTCTCCTTCCTCTGTCTGGAGGGAAGAATTTGAATAAAAGATGATTTCAGTGAACTATCTAGCAGCAGTATGGTCCAAGAAATTAATCATTATTTTTTTACTACTTGCTAATTATTCCCTTGGGATTGTTTGACCTAGAGGAAATACTTGTTTTGAACTATCACCTTTGAATGTCTCCCCGTGTTCTATTCTGCATTGTCAGTTTCTTTTGAGTGTATTCTTTCTGATGCATTTGTTAACTAGTTTAAATAATCTGAATTTATCAAGGAAAGCAAGTCATGAGGCTGAATCAGATAGTTTCTTAAGATACCTATATGCTCTTCTAGTCTAGAGTTTAAGGACTACAATACAATATATTTCCTCTGAAGAAACAAAGTAGAGGAAATGAATTAAAACATACATACCAGAATTAAAATACCTAAAAAATAATAATTCACACTTTGGTTGGTCTCTCTCATGGCTCTGTATGTCAGCTACTAGTTTTGGGGAGTCTCCAGAAAGTATGTTACTACACAATTAAGTCCTATTTTCCTTCCCTGATTATCACCTGCCTTCCAAGGCGAATGATATCAGATTTGCTATAGCCATAAGTTTCTACAGTGATGACAAGGGATGCTAATAAGCACCACTGATAGTTACTGCTGAACACTGGCACCATTTTCCAGTAGTTCTGTTGCCATGACTGATTCCCATGACTGCTGTTGCTGCCTCCTTCACCCAGATGAACTGACCATCACATGCTGGAGCACATCGTAGATGAGTCGGAATATTCACTGTGTTCTCTCAAATAGTTAATACACTAAAGTCAGGAAATGTCCTAAACAGGACTAATTGTGCTTTCTGAGGTCTGTATCTTTCAGTATATATTTAATAGAGCACTAGTTCCTCAAGACGGTAAAAGGTGTTTCATACACCGTCAAATCCACAGATGAGTAAATTGAGGAAATACCGGACCACACCATAGTAACAGTACATTTCTCCAGTAAATTATTTTTTTTTCCCAAGAGATTTTTGCTATAAGGCACTTGCACTTGCCGGAGAAATAGAAACAGAAATCACACCCGCCCCTGTTGCGGGGCGGGGGGGAATGGGGGAGGAGGATGGCCATACCGCAATCCCTTCTCCTCCTTTCTCCACTCAGGATTTTTGGCACTCAGGCATACGTGCTCAGCATGAGTTTTAAGCTACTGGATCTGGGACTTTAACTGTAGTCAATTATGTGGGAGTCCAGTGATGTAACCCTTACACTATCTGCTGGTCCCTATAGAAAACAGATTTCTATGGTGCAGACTTTGTTGTAAAAGTCTTT